GGCATGTGTCACTACAACTGGTACCAAAGGAAATTTATTAATAAATAGACCCATGACCGTTTAGCCAACAGGATCGCACTGCATACCCACCATTTATAAAGAATAGGCAGCATAATCATTCCTTTGTGTTCCCTAGTAGAACTGACAGATTATGCTGGGCAAAACATATTTGCCTCAGCCCCCTTATCATCCTGTGATAACAAGTTGGATGTCCAGCATATATAATGCATCCTAGCTGGGCCACTTGGAATCATGTTTATGTTCACACTTGAACCTTTATGTCACCAGTCACCTCAGACTTCAGTGTGTTTCAGATGCCCTGAAATGCTGATAAAAGTCAGCTTATTTCAAAAAACGCACATGCGAGGCTCCACTCCCAAAAATTCTGATCCATTCAATTGAGAGTGTGTCTCTGGAATTTTCATTTTTATAAACAAACTAGGTAATTCTGATGCTCAGGCTGTACTTTGAGAAATCTCTGGTCTATGTTAACCCGTTATATCTTAGTCACGCATAGAAAATTCTGGACTTTTTGGCTCAGAATAAGGTGTTGGGTGTAATAGCAGGCTAGTCTAACATATCTTAAGCTCATTCCATTCTAGATATGCCACACATAGTAATTGCAGTTGCCCCTCTTTTCTCTTGCCAAGACAGCTAAGAGGTGCAGATAACACTGCCCTTTCACACATCTGCAGAGTCATAAAAACTCTAATGGACACAATTATTTCCCTACTAGTCTCCTACCTAACTGTCCTTTCCATGGTTCCACTGAGATTCCATGAGGTGTTCCAGCCAAATATCATAGTAACTTATCTGTGGCTAGATTTCATAAACCCAAGGTTTTACCTTAAATAAAACCCTTCATCATTCCCCACTTCCATACATCAGCAAAGGTAGGCAAGCGCACAAACCCGTTCATTCAACATGAATTTGCCTAACCTCATCTGTCCGCCCTGCTGTGAATGAGATCCCATGCGTCGGGCAAAAGAAAAACACATCAGCCTAGCGCTCATGGAGTTACAGTCGAGTGCAGAAAATCAACCACACAAACAAGAAACAACCAGTCATGTTTTAAGCAACATGTGCAAGATTATAAAAATAGAGTGTAATCTTCACAGACGGAGGAACTGGTGTTTAAATGTTGCCTCTCTTGTGTCCATGATTTAATTCCTGGAAGTACAGCACTTGGTATTTAGCAAGACTGGAAGGAAATACAAGTGCTCCTTGCATTTGCTCCTCTTAATGCCTGCAGCGGCAGATTCCCCGTTCGCTCTGCACTGCCTCGTTCTTTTTCTTAACTGGATATTGGTACACTCAGATCTCATCTCTCTGATGATCATAAAAGATGCCTGAAGCCAATAAGTAACTGTCAAATATTGCTTCTGTGTCTCCTACAGGGTCCAAAGCAATGTCATTTTACTATAAATGATAGTTAAGCCCCTACTATGTACAGGGGCCTACTGTGTGAGAAGTCATAGTGACAGAGCTGGCCAACGAGCCTGCTCCCATTCAGCAAGCATTTCTTTAGCATTTCCCAAATAGAAGGCTATGTCCTCAGAGTTCTGAGTATGTTGATAAGCAATCCTCTTGGTCTACACTCAGGACAGAGTGCTTCATGTAAGGCATCAACAGGCACTGTCTTAGTTTGCAAGGACTGCTATAACAAAGCACCACAAACCAGGGCAGGGGGCTTAAACAACTGACATTTATTGTCTTGCGGTTGTAGAGGTTAGAAGTACAAGATCCATGTGTTGACATAGTTGGTCTCCCCTCAAGGCTGTAAGGGTGGAATGTGTTTCATCCATCTTTCCTGGTGGTATTCTGGTGGTTTGCTGGCAATCTTCGTACTGTTTTGCTTGTAATAGCATTGCCCACATTTCTGACTTCATCTTCACCTGGTGCTCTCCCTGTGTGTCTGTCTGTGTCCTAATGTCCCTCTTTTTATAAAGACAGTGGTGATACTGGATTAAGAGCACTTACTCCAGGATGACCTCACGTTAACTAATCATATCCGCAATGACCCAATTTCCAAATAAGGTCACATTCTGAGACACTGGAAGTTAAGGGTTCAAAATATGAATTTGCGGGAGAAACATAATGTAACTTATAATGCACACAAAGAACTAAATACAAACCAGGGCTGGAATGGGGGAACATATGAGGTGCTCCAGGGGTATGAGTGCCTGTCAAACTGAGTTTCACCGGCATGAGGACAAGCCGTAAAGTAAGTGGATCAAGTAGCCAAAGCTTGGGTAGACAGTGGATGTTCTCCAAGTGGGGACAGGGAACAGGCGTTTGATTAAAGGTATTTCTGTGGCAGTAGAAAACACTGGGAGAACTGCAGAAACTATTATGGGATTAAAACTGAAAGAGAGGGCATCTAAAGGAACAGGGAGAGGAGACTGGGAATGAAGGTAGAAGCCAGACCATAAAGAATTATGTCACAAAGGGTGGAGCTCACCAGGGGAGGGGCATCCAGAGGAGAAACTTCTAGTCATATCCGCACACTATAGAGCTCATTCTGGTAAGAGTACAAGCGGTCACTGAAATGAGGCTGTAGTGGAAGCAGAAATAAATGAGAAGCCTATTTGTAAATCTCAGCACCAAGTAATAAGGCTCTGGATACGTCCAGAGCAGCAGCAATGAAAGAGGGGAGATGCATTTCCGGTGGGAAGCTGGAAGGAAATGAGCTCCAACAAACATCTTAGAATAGCTTCCGTGTGAATTGAAGGGATCTAGATGTGGCAGGTAAGGAAGCCAGGAGCCATGCATGGAGGAGGAGAGGAGGGGGGCTCATTTCTGGAAGTTTCTGCAAGGGAGAAAGAGGGCTCTGGGGCACCCCTGGAGACAGTTGCACTTGGCTGGCCAATCCAGCCTTCAGGATTTCCACTCTACTGCCCCAACTTCGTTCACTCTCTGGCTTCAGAAAATATGTTTACATATCAGAGTCGGACAAAACAGCCTACTACTAGGAAACACGACCCTGTGAGCTGGGGACAATGGAAGTCATAAGACTTGCGGTATCTTCACACTCCTATCTTTGCCAGTGCAGGAAAGAAAAAACTGCAAGCCAGTTTATAGTTACAGACACAGCCACCTGGTTCAATGCCTGGCTTCTTGATCTACTGGTAACGGTGCTTAATTAGACACACCAGAAGTTGCAAAGTTTCTCAGAAACTACAGCACCAGTTAAAATGGAATGCTGGATAAGAAGAAGGTCCCCAAAACTGTTCAAAATACCCACCACGGGTAGGTAGGTGGGTGAAGTAACTAGGCAGGCAGCTCCTGGCGAAAAATTCCTCTTTTTCAACATCCAGCAGGGTGAAGCCGCCTCGCAGATCAGATTTGGATTTTAGTAATCCCCAGGTCATTACATAGAGGAGCTGAGAGTTCAGGGCCCCTAAAGGAAAATGTGGTGGAGGAATATAAATTACCTCATAGAATTTTGGGAGAAAGCTTGTATCCGCCCCGGGTTCTTTGGGTGGACTCCTTTCACACCAAGCTAAACTCAGAAGTTCAGGGGGAGGGCGCCTAAGGCCCTCCTTTCTTCAACGCAAGAACAATTTCCTCTTTAAAAATACAGGCAGCGTTGGAGTCAAACTCCGTCCAAACAGGAAATCAAATTTTTAGGTAAAACTGGCGCCTTATTTTTAAAGGTCAAGCCTTTTAATACACCAAATGCGTCTTTCCTGGGCGTCTACTACGCGCTCCAGCCATATGGCACTAGCTGACCCTGGGGTAGAGGGGTGAGCTCCTCCAACACACACACACACACACACACACACACACACACACACACACACACATCTGGCAAAGCTTACAGGAGAAAGGCTTTTAATGGACTGTGATGTCATTTTTCAAAAAAAAAATAAAAATGGAATCAAAGGTTTCAGCGCTCCTTTCCCATTGCTTGGGTCCCCGGCCCCCCGTGCGTGGCCAGGGCCCTGAGCAGGGCAAGTGGACGGCCTGGGGCGAGGGGGTGGGCACGAGAAGGGGGATGGGTGGCAAGGTGGAAGGGCTGCGCCGGCAGAGGAATCGGGAGTTGGCCGGCGAGCTGCAGCGCCAAGAGGCAGGTGCCAGCTGAGAGTGGGCGGAGGTGCGGGCGCCGGGCCAGGCGGGAGGAGGCCCCGCGTTACCTCTGCCTGCGGGAGAACCGGAGCGCGGACCAGCTCGCCCCGAGGCGCCCCAGCCTCGCCGAGTGCCCACTCCCGCCCG